CGATCGATCTCATCACAATCCTCAACAAAAATAGGGACGGTCTGCATGGCCCCCGTAAGATGACTGCCATCTCCCATCTGACTCTGAGAGTCATCCTGCAGACTGGGTGGAGGTGGTGGTGGTGGTGGCGGTGGAGGTGGTGGCGGAGGAACATGGCCAACAGCAGGACCATTCCTCATCTCCTCCAACATGACTCTAAACATCGTCATGTTCGCCAGACGGTTGGCCTCCAACACGTCCTCAGTGGCCTTCCTGTTCGCCTCTCTGACGGCGTCCAGCATGGCCTGGTTTGCCATTCTCATGGCCTCCTGGTCGGCTAGTCGGGCCGCCTGCATCTCAGCCAATGCAGCCAGGACAGGATCGGGCCGACCCTCCGAAGTCTCGCGGTTTCTCCCGGGTCTTACCATGACTCTGCACAAGTTACACAAATTATGAGTTGATCAGGCTCACGCAATGTGGTCACATATGCATTATCATAATAATACTCGACGGAGCAAACACACAAAACAGACACAACCAAACATCCTAATCATTGCAATACATACAGACTTTTCCCTTGAACCGTTGCTCTGATACCATAAAATGTAACACCCCGTGTATACTCGGAATATTAACATTACATCGTATTAAGCGGTGCTTAATTAAAAATTGCGGAATATTCTTTTTCTTTTCAATTATGACGTCATTATCAATTACCAACTTGATTACTTAATCAATTTCATAAAATATCGCCTGTATGTAAATTGCAATAAGACATCTATTGAAATACCTCAATATATAAATAAAGTGTGTATCTAAATCACGGTATTACATCTCGTAATCCGGACAATATCCTGATACATTATTACAACTTCAAAAGGCGCAAGACACAAACAAGACATAACAATACTATGTGTCATGGACAAACCCCATGCTAACCAAATAAGCATAGTAAACAACAAGTCTCAACATAAAACTCCATAAACATAACTGAAGCTATAAGCATAAACAGCATGCAAATCCAACATCCAATCATGGCAGCATAATATAACAGCAATCTAACTCAGCTCTGGCCTCCTGCCGCCTGAGGTCTCAACATTACCTGACCCTGAAATAAGCATTCCCCAAACATGGGGTGAGATCTCTAAACAAGAAATCTCAGTAAGACAAGGGGTCCTCAAGGATCTTCCACCCCAAGCTCACTTACATGTGCAATATAAGTTCTAAAAGCATTTATATCATTATCAGTTCCAAAACTATGTAGTGCAACAAATATCTATGGCATGTGTGTAATCACTATCTACTGGCCAGAGAAATGTAGGAATACGTCTATTCCCTACATGTAGTACAAGGAACACCGCTTGCACCTCACCCACAGCCTCACCCTATTGTATGTTCTACATACTCAGGCTTACCGTATAGGTGGAACACCTCCATGCATATCAACAAGGCACTAACATACAATAGCTCAACAACATTTCCAAAACATCAAAAGCATGTAACACAACATGCATATACCATATCCCCATGGGACATGGTGGAACCACAACATGGCTAAACCGAGGACACGAAAGCTTACCTCTAAGCTAGCTATCCAAGCCAAGAGTCCACACAAGCTCAAAGTTCAAACAGAGCAGAATCACAATCTGTTTTAGACTAACAATTATATCAATATTCACATTCTAATATTTACAATGCTTAACTAGACATCTTGATATTTCCAACAATATACTTTATGTCTCAATCGGAGTTGTATAACTCCGGTTATTATTTGCGCAAGGTGACTGCTGCAAACGGAATTTCCAGCAACCAAAACGCGACATAAACTAGACACTGCGATCAAATCACTAATCCAATGGCTACAAAATTTTACAGAGTTGTAACCCTAAGTGTTAGCTTCACATAGGTCCAAACCTCACTCAATTTAGAGCTCTGTAGCTCGAGATATCTCAATTTTACTAAACTAGGTCGTTGCTGTCACATTTGCACAAAACAGGTTTCTGGTCATTTTCACAGGTGGTAATCGATTACCAAGTACTGGTAATCGATTACTGCACATGGTAATCGATTACCACCAGCAAGGTAATCGATTACCACACATGGTAACCGATTACCAATCAAAAGTAATCGATTACCACGCGGGCAGAACAGCATTATGCAGATTTTTTCTGCATAATCCGAAGCCAAATTGCCATCCCATGACCCAAGGTCCGGTCTTGACCCAAAACAGAAGTTCAATACCACATTTTAGACTTAGATTAACAACCTTAAGCTTGAATGATTAAAGTTAACTCATTTTATAATATAAACCAGCCATTTTCATGAAAATTCAAAGGAAAGTTCAAGGTATACCAATGGAGGTTCAAACTCAGCCACAAGGAAGGCTCTTGGAGCTCTCCAACAAGGTTCAAAGATTCTGACTTGAACACAAAACGAAAATGCCAACAAAGCTTGGCCCTTTCTTCACAAAGGAAGCTCCTTGGAGCTCAAAATGCCATTACAATGGCTCAACAACTCCAACCTCCAAAGTCAGCACCAAAAGCACCCCAAAACAACTCACCAACTCAGAAACCAAGCCTCTCACACAACCCCAACACAACCACAAGGTGTTTACAAGGAAGAATCAAGAGAAAAGATGATCATTTGGTGGTTTCTCATGAAGAAATGGTGAAGACAAGCCAAAGAAGCACCAAGTCAGCAATGGAATAGTGTAGAGTGATCAGCCCCCAAAGGTGTTCACGTAGGAATGAGGTTCTAGGGTTTTGTGCCCACTTAATGAGTGTATTTATAGCCAAAACCCACTTAAACTCACTGTATTAACTTTAATTGCTACGCTTAGCATTTTAATCCCAAACTTTGGATTCTGAAACTACATAATTTTCTAAGATTTATCATATTTTTCTTATGATTATCTGAGCAACTTTCTGGTATGCGCTTTTCAAAGCCAGTACCGGTTTCTAGCACCAGTTCTCATTATTTGGACTTGAAACTCGTTTTACAAGTCCTACATGTTATTCTAGTAATTATCATGTACTTACTTTAATTTTCTGGGATACTTTTTCGGTATGCATTTATACCGACTAGCAGAACCGGTATCTGCACTTTTCTTCCGAAAAGCGACTTTCAGCATTCTTAATCACTTATTATAATTATTAAAGCCTCTTAATAATTATTAGGGTTAATTATGGAATCATTTCCTATTTTCACATAATTAATTAATTAAATACCTTAATTAACGGTGCGGGTTCTTACAATTGCCATCGCAGAGTTGACAAATTTCTCCGTGAGTTTCCCTTCTATGGTCCTCTCCATCTCGGGTCTGGTCTCCATCACGTCCCAGATTCCTTATCTACATCAAACGCTCCTCCATCTCTTGAATTCTTCTGACATCTTCCTCTCGCTGAAGATGATTGCAGTGTTCCATTTCTTGGAACCTTCTCATATCCTCCTATTGCTGAAGATGATTACGGTTCTCCATCTCCTCCATCTGCCTTAAGATCGCAGTAAATGCGATCTGTGCAAGGCGGGTGTCTGGATCTGCAGCAAGTGCAACGCGGGATGCCGCATCTGAAGGTTGAGGATGAGGAGCTCCGGTTTGATTTGCTGACGCAGGTGTAGATGCTGTGTCTGAGACTTCCTCACTCACGTGAACAATGACATAATCAATCTCATTCTCTGCATGATTCTGTGGTTGATCCACCTCCACCAGAATAGGATTCGACGGCAGGTTTGGCTGTGGTGGCAATTGACCTCTACTTCTTGTACAAACTATTACGTCTCGTAGGAATCAAAATTTATCGATTCCCCACAGACGGTGCCAATGTTTTTTTCTTGAAGACAGAGATGTTTAGCCCAACAGGCTAGTAAGTTTCTTTTGGATCTAGGTGTTCTCTCTCTAAGGTATCTATGAGTTAGATACACTTGAATTTAGCAGATCACTGTGCACAAAGAGTAAAGAACAGCTTTCTCCAAAAGGGTAGTGTGTGTGCACAGTGACAACATAACAGTAACAGAGAATAATCATACATGTAGGCTTTACCTCCTATTTATAGAATTTACCTGTGGGTATTAGATTTTGAACCTTCTGTGCCTCTTCCAGCAGCCCAAGCCCATGTTTAATGTTGTCGTATTAGGATTGATATTTTTTATGGATATCCTTCCTTAATTATATCATATTTATATTTAGATTATCCCTTGTTGAGCTTAGTGATAAGTGAGCCTAATATATAAATTCATAACAACACTCGTACAAAAAATATAAAAGGGAATGTTTCATATTTTTATATCATTTTAATTCCCCTCCATTCGTTGTTCCCGTCTAAATTCACTTTTGTGGATTTCATTTTTTCCTATTTTTGAATAAAATTTCAGCTATTACTTAGGTAGATAAATCTAGTTTTTCTAAAAGTATAAAAAAGCTGGTACTGTGCATTTACCAAATCTGATTAAGTTCTGATACCATTTTATTTCTTCCATTTTCTCTATCCTAGTCTTCTCCCTTTTTTCTTTCTATTTTTTATTTAATTTCATTATGTCTGTGTTGAAAATTGAAACCATAACGTTATTTATTTCAATTTATTTTATTTTGAAAGCCATTATGCGTCTATCTTTTGAAATAAAATATGATTAGAAGTATAAATATGTAATAAAAAAACGCATATATTGATTACCAAAAAAAAAAACGCATATATTGAAAAATAAAAAATAAAAAACTAAAAAGACACACCAAATCCAAATATAAACGACATAGAATGTTAAAAATACCTGCCACGTAAGCATAGATTAGCTGTTTCCCAGATGGCGAAGGTAACAAATTAGTGTTCGACACCGTATCAAGAACATTGCAAACGCAAATTAACTAATAGTAAATTTGCAACCAAGGTTAATGGCTTGGTGTTTCCCTGTATCTAGTTGGTAAAGCCTCAAATTCTATTGTTTCGAAATAATGCCCTTCGTTTCCTTTGCATCATCATCTTCATTGCATTATTCTTGTTTTCTGGAGGGGGGCAAGCGCGACCAAAATGAACTCAACCCAAGAATTATTCTTCACTTCAGTAACGTTCGTTCGAGAAGTAATTCCGGGTCGATATCAAATCTACAACGTTTGCGTCGATGAGCCAAAGATAGTATCAGATGGCATATGGGCTAATCGCACTACCGGTGCATTACCTACACATTCTACTTTTACAATGCTGGAGCTCCAAATACTTATCATTTTCGTCATCACGCAAATCTTTCATTTCTCTTTCAAGCGCTTGGGGCTGCCTTATTTCATTTCGCAAGTAATGGTATGCATCTCTCTCTCTCTCTCTCTCTCTCTCTCTCTCTCTCTCTCTCTTTTCTAACTCCTAGCCTCCCTTGAATTTTGTTATTGGATTCATACAACATTATGTCGGAAGGGAAAATATATGTTTCTATGTATACACTCGTCTTGCTTACGCAAAAGTTCATCCACCATTCAAATAAGTATTCCATTCTCTCTATCATAAATGACATTAGCATGTTTTTAAGGAAAATAACCCATTACATAGCCCGAATACCTAGGATCTGGATTCTCTACATATTTGCTATAGTTTCTGTGGTTTTAAACACTGACAAAAATTAGGTAGGTTCCATGATTTGAAATTTATGTTTTACATTTTTTTTTTGGTAACAAAAAGTTGAAGTGGGGTTACATTTTATGTCTGATTTTCCTAAACTCATTGAACTCTAGAGAATTCAAATTCGATTCCATATAGCCCTTGATACACATCCGCGTATCATACTCCTCGATTGGACATGAGCCTTTTTTTTTTTCCTTGTTCTTCCTTTTCTATCTGTATAGAGATGGCAAAACGTGTCAATGGTTGGGTTTGCATTGTGTCATGGTTTAACCTAGCTACAATTGAAATCATTCAACCCAAACACAACACGTACTTATTTACAGGTTAAAAATGCAAACCCATTGCAGGTCATAGGTAACACTGGTTGACATGAAAAAATATTGAAAATAACAAGAAAATCTATATGAAATACACGGGTTTACCTCTTACCCACAATAGATCATGTTAAAATTATCAAAATTTTAACTTTTTTATTATTATTTTGGACAAGAAAAAATTTGTGAGTTTAATAATTTGTATTACTTTTTCAAACCCAAACACTACCATTTTTAGCTCACGGGTTGACATGACACTATTTTGATGTGTCGTGTAGCAAGTGGACCCATAGACGAAGATACATTTTGTTACCCCCTACGTGTAAGAGTCACTTACTTTTTACCCCCTAAAGGTTTTTTCTATTAAAAAAGAAGAAGAACTAATTAATGCAAATGAAATTAAATATGAGGAAAATCTAACAATTCAATTTTTTGCAGACTGGTTTTCTTCTAGGCCCGTCGATTCCAACAGGACCAATGGAAAAGTACAAAAAGATGTTATTTCCATATGGAAGCCCGGATATACTGAACACTATATCATCATTTGGGTTCTCAATGTTCCTGTTTCTAAATGCAGTGCAAATGGACTTCACCTTGATAACAAGAACTGGCAAGAAAGCTTGGGTAATAGCTCTTTCCACATTAATCACACCAATGGCTGTTGGTTTTTTCTTAACAAAAACATTCTTCCCCTTATGGGTTCGAATAATTGGGCCAGAGGAAGCAGAAACCTTACCTGTAACATTTATATCTCACTGTGGTGGTTCCTTCGCTGTCATAGCCTCTTTGCTCAGTGACCTTGGAATCCTCAACTCTGAACTCGGACGCCTCGCACTATCCGCAGCATTTTTAAACGATATTTCAGGTGCAGTTGTGGCAGGACTTGGAACCGCAATTGTAAGCAGCCAAGGATTGTATTTACCAATTATAAATGTGGGTTATTTTCTTGCGTTTCTAATCACAGTTCCATTGATTGGGCGTCCAGCAATGAGATGGGTAGTGAAAAAAACACCAGAGGGTCGACCTGTGAATAAGATATATATTAACATTATCATCCTAGTGCTTCTGCTATTGGGTCTCGTTGCAGGGTATTTTCACCAACCTTTCTTGGTTGGTGCACTTGTTTTTGGGCTTGCTGTCCCAGAAGGTCCTCCTTTGGGGTCTGAATTGGTTTACCAACTTGAATTGTTCTCCACGTGGTTTCTCTTGCCCATTTTTGTTACTAGTTGTACCATGAAGGTTGATCTTACCCAATGTGGACCTCTCTCTTTGGTTTTGGTCATGTCCTCCTTCATCATTATGGTCCATTCAATTAAATTTATGCTGTGCTCCGGAATTTGTCGCTACTGCAAGATGCCCTACTCTGATGGTCTCTGCCTTGCTCTCATCTTGAGCTGCAAAGGTGTTGTCGATCACTGCACCTTTATCCTTGTCTACGACGGACTGGTAATCTTGCATTTTTTATGAAACCAAACTTAGAAGTACTTACATTTTCTCCTATTTAGTTAGAGGAATTGACCATTTTTATCCATCAACTAAAATGTGCCCGTAAATAACTATCATGATACACATACCACATTCACTTAAAATAGAAACACGAAAATGAATCATCTCAAACATTGTGAAAAATCTTAGTCATTCATTGACACATCAACAACGAGCATTTAAAATGATGATTATCTCTTATCCATTATATGGGATTTGTCATAAAAAAAATAAATATGACTGTTAATATGTAAATAAATGACAGATTTTTCACAAGATGCTAGAGAAATGAAATTATACATTCTCTATGAACACACCCACTCACCTGACAATGTTTAGAAAAAGTTGGAAGAAAATAAGTGAAAATACAATTGGGTAAGTGGGTATGTCCGTAAGTACTTTAGTTTTGCAATTATTATTGAAACACTATATTGGACATTTATTCTTTCAACTAATAATATATGTGATTGTAAAATATTATAAGTGAAAAAAGCATAGTGTTATTTTTGAATCCTTTCATGTTAAAATATTACTTGACCAGATCACATGAAAATTTTGTATCAATCTCTCTTTTCATTGATATTAAATAGCTGGGGTTCAATTAAAATTTATGAACAGAAAAAAATAGACACAAAATGAAATTTTAACGTAGGAAGAGTCCTATGCAAGTCAGTTTGTCAGTGCGATGTACCTGTTCAAATAATTAAATAATTTTATCCAATGCAAATATTGCTGCAGAAACAAACTCCACATGCAATAGGTGTTATGACTATCTCAGTATTGATCGTGGGAACAATTTCACGATTCGGAGTGAAGTCCTTGTACGACCCAAAAAGGAAATACGCAGGGTATCAAAAAAGGGACATAATGAACTTGAAGAAAAACTCAGAGCTTCGTGTTGTTGCATGCATCCACAAGCGAAGCCACATAAATCAAATAAAGAATGTCCTCGAGCTTTGTACTCCAGCACCAGACAATGCACTTGTAGCAGATGTGTTACATCTCATGGAACTAGTTGGAAGAACCACTCCAGTTTTCATTGCACATCGCCTTCAACAAAGGGGAAGGTCAACCCGCAACTACTCTGAAGAACTCAATGTAGTCTTCGACCTTTTTGAGCGTGAATATGCAGGTTCAGCAACAGCCAACACCTACACAGCAATATCTCCAGTGACCCTTATGCATGAGGATGTGACTCAGCTTGCATTGGACAAACTTGCATCCCTTATAATTCTTCCATTTCATATAAGATGGGCAGAGGATGGTTCCATTGAATCAGAGGACACTAGAATAAGGTCACTGAATTCTAATGTTTTGGAAAGAGCACCATGCTCAATTGGGATTCTAGTGAACCGTGGCTCTTCTAGTTTTAATTTAACGAGTTATAAAGTGGCCATGATTTTCTTGGGTGGGCCAGATGATAGAGAAGCTTTGTGTTTGGCTAAAAGGTTTGCTAAAAACTCTGATAATAGATTGTTTGTGTATCGGTTACTTGCACATGATAATGATTCTATAGATTGGGAGACTATGATTGACGATGAGGAGTTAAGGGAGGTGCGTGGAGCTTATATTAAACTTGAAAATGTGACATATGAAGAAATAATTATCCAGGATGCATCACAAACAACAACTTTCCTTAAGGATATGGCAAATAAATTTGATTTTATTGTAGTTGGAAGACGTAATGGGGTCCAATCTCCTCAGACACTTGGATTGGAAGATTGGACTGAATTTACAGAATTGGGTGTGATTGGTGATTTGCTTGCTTCACAAGATATGGAGACTAAAGCTTCAATTTTGGTTGTGCAACAACAACAAACGACGTCTTTGTCGTGACTAGAGAGATACTAGTTTGTATAATTTTTGTTTTTTGCTTTTTTGTTTGTTCTGTATTTGGCTTTTAACTATTTTAATTTACTTCAAAGAAAAAGGGTATTTGAAATATTATTGAATTGTGTAAATAATCTGTACAAAGAGGTCTCTATTTATAGAGAATGAAAACCCTAATACTTGACCTAATGGGCTTGACCCAATACAACAAATAATAATTATTAAATAACCAATATTTACAAAACTCCCCCTCAAGCTGAGGAATAGATATTTATCATTCCCAGCTTGCTAGTAAGTTCTTAAAATCTATCTGAAGGAAGTCCCTTTGTTAATAGATCAACCAATTGACGCCAGTGGGAATGTATGGAGTGGTAATCAGCACACTATCAAGTTTCTCTTTGATGAAATGACGGTCAACCTCAATATGTTTAGTCCGATTGTAACACCCCGTGTATACTCGGAATATTAACATTACATCGTATTAAGCGGTGCTTAATTAAAAATTGCAGAATATTCTTTTTCTTTTCAATTATGACGTCATTATCAATTACCAACTTGATTACTTAATCAATTTCATAAAATATCGCCTGTATGTAAATTGGAAAAAGACATCTACTGAAATACCTCAATATATAAATAAAGTATGTAACTACATCACGGTATTACATCTCGTAATCCGGACAATATCCTGATACATTATTACAACACCAAAAGACTCAAGACATAATCAAGACATAACAATACTATGTGTCATGGACAATCCCCATGCTCACCAAATAAACATAGTAAACAACAAGTCTCAACATAAAACTCCATAAACATAACTGAAGCGATAAGCATATAAACAGCATGCAAATCCAGCATCCAATCATGGCAGCATAAAATAACAGAAATCTAACTCAGCTCCGGCCTACTACCGCCTGAGGTATCAACATTACCTGACCCTGAAATAAGCATTCCCCAAACGTGGGGTGAGATCTCTAAACTAGAAATCTCAGTAAGACAAGGGGTCCTCAAGGATCTTCCACCCCAAGCTCACTTACATGTGCAATATAAGTTCAAAAAGCATTTATATCATTATCAGTTCCAAAACTATGTAGTGCAACAGATATCTATGGCATGTGTGTAATCAATATCTACTGGCCAGAGAAATGTAGGAATACGTCTATTCCCTACATGTAGTACAAGGAACACCGCTTGCACCTCACCCACAGCCTCACCCTCTTGTATGTTCTACATACTCAGGCTTACCGTATAGGTGGAACACCTCCATGCATATCAACAAGGCACTAACATACAATAGCTCAACAACATTTCCAAAATGCATATAACCATATCCCCATGGGACATGGTGGAACCACAACATGGCTAAACCGAGGACACGAAAGCTTACCTCTAAGCTAGCTATCCAATGCCACAAGCTCAAAGTCCAATTACAGCAGATCACAATCTGATATGGACTAAATATAAATCAATAAACATGTACCACATGCATACAAATTAAAGACAACGCCTTTTCATTACGTTTTAAGTCTTAAAGCTTCTAACAAAGCCACAAGCCCTTAATCCCATGATTCTGGCTTAGACCATTAAATACAAAAGTTCAACTTCATCAAACTAGGGTCCACAAACCCCCAATAGCCTACTGTACACACATCACAGCTACTATTCTGCGAAATCCCAAAATATCTGGATATTCATCGGGACCATATCTGGATATGCAATATCCGGATATCTCACCGTTCATATCCGGATATGCAAAATCCGGATATACAGATTCACATATTCGGATATCCAATATCCAGATATCCCAAAACCCCATATCCGGATATTACATATCCGGATATCATATCCGGATATCCAATATCCGGATATTCCACGAGCAGATATCCGGATATTTCACGACAGAATGCAGTTTCTGCATTTTCGTGAAGATATCCCTTAAAGGTTCCCTTTTTACCGATTTTAAACACCTAATCATGCATTTCTAGGCGTGTTCAACATTACCCAACAACAAGTTATCATCTTTTAGTCATTAGATGCATCAAGGTACCATTTTTAAGCCTTAAAACTCAAGTTAAAGGTTGGTACAACATACCAAGGCTCAAAACTCAGAATGGAGATGCTCTTGGAGCTCACCAACAGTCCCTCAACTACTGACCACACAGATGTGCGAAAATGGAAGACAAGCAAGGCTCTTCCTCACCAAAGGTGGCTCCTTGGACCTCCAAAAATGAAGCACAAGGTTCACTCCCTCCACCAACCTAAAGTCAGCCCCCAAGACTCCCTCAAGCTGACCTCCTTACTCAGAAACAGCACCACAAACCCCTTCCCAAAGGTGACTCTCCCTCACACAAGTTTTTAAGAAGAAGAAACCACAAAGAACAAGGAAGAAATGGCTCCAAGACTCTCAAGGAAGAAGAACACAGCAATGAAACAGTGCCAAGGTGCACTCAGCCGCTCAAGTCACGTAGGAGTAGTGGTTCTAGGGTTTTGTGCCCAATGATTAGAGTATATATAGGCACTTAAGCATTAAACACACAGTATTAACTTTAATTGCTACGCTTAGCATTTTAATCCCAAACTTTGGAATATAAAACTACACATTTTTCCAAGAATTATCATATTTTTATTATATTTTTCTGAGCACCTTTCTGGTACGCGCTTTTCAAAGCCAGTACCGGTTTCTAGCACCAGTTCTTATTATTTGGACTTGAAACTCGTTTTACAAGTCCTACATATTATTCTAGTAATTATCATGTACTTACATTAATTTTCCGGGATACTTTTTCGGTACGCATTTATACCGACTAGCAGAACCGGTATATGCATTTTTCTTCCGAAAAGCGACTTTCAGCATTCTTAATCACTTACCATAATTATTAAAGCCTCTTAATAATTCTTAGGGTCAATTATGGAATCATTTCCTAATTTTGCATAATTAATTAATTAAATACCTTAATTAACGGTGCGGGTTCTTACACTGATCATGTTGAACTGAATTATGAGCTATACAAATAGCGGACTTATTATCACATAGCAACTTCATAGGTCCCTCATATTTTATTTTGAGATCATCAAGTATAATTTTCAGCCACAATAACTCACAAATGCCTTGAGCCATAGCTCGAAATTCAGCTTGTGCACTTGATCTGGCGACCACATCTTGTTTCTTACTTCTCCATGTCACCAAGTTACCGCAAAGAAACATGCAGTAACCAGTGGTAGAACGCCGGTCAGTCACGGATCCAGCATAATCAGCATCAGTGTAAACTTCTAAAGAGAGATTGCCATCACGTCGGAATAACAATCCTTTACCAGGAGTAGCTTTAAGCTCTACTTCCTGCATGTGTTTCTCCTTTGGATCATGCATAAACTGACTGACAACACTAACAGCATAAGCTAGGTTTGGTTTAGTATGAGCCAGATATATCAATTTCCCAACTAGCCGTTGATATTGTCCTTTATCAACTGGAGGACTCTCCTCTTCATAGCCTATCTTGTGATTCTGCTCAATAGGGGTATTAGAGGGTTTACACCCAAGCTTTCCTGCTTCTTTGAGAAGATCAAGAACATATTTTCTCTGGCTGATAAAAATTCCTTTCCTTGAATGAGCTACTTCTATCCCTAGGAAATATCTCAGTTTCCCAAGGTCGTTGACTTCAAACTCAGAGGCAAGCCGTGTTTGCAGAATCTGTTTCTCCACAAAATCATCACTTACGATAATAATATCATCAACATATACAAGGAGCACAGTAAGCTTCCCATTATGGGAATGTTTGAAGAAAATAGTGTGATCTCCTTGACTCTGTATGTGTCCTAAGGTCATCATAACCTTAGTAAACCTTCCAAACCAGGCACGAGGTGACTGCTTCAATCCATACAAGGCTTTTTTTAATCTACAAACTTTATTTTCTCCCTTCACAGAATCAAAACCAGGCGGGATTTCCATGTAGACTTCTTCTTCTAACTCACCATTGAGGAAAGCATTTTTCACATCAAATTGATTTATATCCCAATCGTAATGGGCAGCAAAGGATAACAGGACTCTCACCGTATTCATCTTTGCAACTGGAGCAAATGTTTCTTCTTAATCAATGCCATAGGTTTGAGTGTAACCTTTGGCAACTAATTGAGCCTTGTTTCTCTCAAGAGTTCCATCAGAATTATATTTCAGGGCATAAACCCATCTGCACCCTACTGCTTAATAACCTCCCATGTTTTATTTTTCTCCAATGCATTCATCTCCTCTTGCATGGCTTGAGCCCAATTCCCATCTTTCAAGGCTTCATGTACTGATTTTGGGATTGCAAGAGTCTAGTGCTGAAACAAAGATTTTGTGCTGCACAGAAAGATTAGCAGAGGAAACAAAATGGGAGATAGGGTATTGAGTACAAGAGGGACAGGAGGAACAAGATTTCTTGGGACAAGATCTTTTTCCTTTTCTAAGAGCAATGGGTAAATCATCAGAATCAGTAGTAATGGGTAAGTCATCAGAAGTATTAACATCATGATCAGAAATATGAGATTCAGGACTTACCAGTGGTTTAGACGATTGAGGTTGCTGCTGAGGCAATGTGGGTTGTTTCCTTCTTTGATATACCAACTGAGGTGTCATAATCTTCCGTATCTCTGGTGAACTTGATGTATCAGTCACAGGAGGATCACTCACAGGTGGATCAGACACAGGAGGAACAGGAACAAGAGGAGGATACACTGACACAGGTAAAGGAGTAGACACTGAAGACTCAAAGAAGGGAGGTGATGAGTTTTCTGGTGAAGGATTCTCCCCCTGAAGATGAGAACATTGGAAAAATGACTCAGATTCCTGAAATTTAACATCCATAGAAACAAAAAATTTCCTACTACCAGGGTGATAGCACTTGTAGCCCTTCTTATCAGGAACATAACCAAGAAAAACACATTTAATAGCCCTAGGGTCCAACTTACTGCGATGATGTTTATGAACATGAACAAAAACAACACACCCAAACACTCGTGGAGGA